TCAGCCGTGAGGACTAAGATAGAATGCCTCTTTTCCAGTAAAATGGGTCTCCGGTTCTCTACACTCACCATGCGAAACACAGCAGCATCAAGCTGCTATTTTACGCAGGTATTCAGTTTATTAATAAAATGATTTTCAAGTTCTATAAATTTTATCGTTATTAAAAATTTTAAGGCGCATTCATTTTCTTCTTTAGCCATTGATAGACAAAGGACAAATGTACCACACAGTCTATATCGATTTTATACTTTGTGTAATCGATTTATTTTGGTAATTTATTTTTTCCATCAAAATTAAATGAAACGCTCATGAGGCGCGCACTTTTGGATTTTCCAAACTACTTATATTCTATTATCTTAACTTTGTTTGTTTAGCATGACGCCTACAATAAAGAAAGAATTCCTCAATGCAGAAGACGATTTCGACAGGTCAGTTTCACGAGCTGCCCCGCGAAAATACGATATCCTCTACTTCAACGTACTCACACACATCTTGCTCCATCTGTGTGCTGCATGTGGATTGTACCTAACATTTACTCAGGCTCAATGGAAAACAGTGATATTTTTTTTGTAAGTGACAATTATATCCGACTAGCTTAGCCCCGCATGTGCCCGACCGATTTATGTTTTTACTTTATACGCTTCAAGTGTCAGGGTCCGTTTTGGAAGTCGCGCGATACCGGTAGGCGCTAATGTAAACAATGGTATCTTTTTACTTTTGTATGCCAGCTATATATAAAACTTATACGCATCGATTCGTTATGAATTAAGATACTTGATTCATCTTTATAAATATTAAATTCTATTTTTATAATATTATCAATTTCATTTCTTGCGTGACGTAATTTTGCCGGTTTCTTGTACATAAAGTGTAAGGATTATGAAATTAAGGCATTATATACAACGATATTTGTTTTATTTGCTTAACAATACAACATTATATCAAAAGAGATTAAAAAATCACACCCCATCAATACATTTTTTTCACACAACAAACTTTTTAATATCTACCTCCTTTTACGCGACAATTAAAAACAAGTTAAAACAATCGAAAATGTTCAATTCGAAAACGTTTGAAAACCTTACATTACGGCCTTGTCATTAATCTATGTTGTTGAAAGATTAAAACAGCGTTTTATCTTTGAACAACGTAGATTAAAGACAAGGCGTGTTTAATTGAGAAATGGGCACACGGGGTCGGCTGACACACGGGCATGCATTCGCTGTCAACCCTCTGCGGGTGTCATGACACTTGAGGGGTTAAACACTTCAATTTTATTTATATGTAGAGTAGACAACATATAAATAAAATTGAAGTGTCTGTCTGTAATATCGAAATAACAGTCTTATATCAATATGTAAGCAATAATAATAACAGCCTTTATATCAATATATGCAAATAACTTGGGCTGAGGGGGTTATATGCATGCCATACATTTTTTATCTGTCTGTCTGTTTATCTATCTGTCCGGACTAATCTGCAGACTGCTTGAACCGATTGTAAGGAAACTTCACGAACATATAGAGAGCAATGTCAGGAGTGATCTAGGTAGTGTTGCTAGGTGTCCGAATTTGCGCGAGACGTTCCGACTTTCAGGGGTCTGGTGGCACGTCCCGATTCGTCCTTGATCGGGACGCCAAATGTCCCGATATTTCATTAACCTCTACAGTCTGCATTTGATCGATAATTTTGGACAAAAAATGAATCATCAGTCTGTAAGCTGTTATTCCATTAAAATAATTTTGCTTTGATATTTTCATATTTTCTCACCAAAATCCATTGAGTTATAAGTACTACGTACTAGAGAAGATATTCCAAACAAAAATTGTGCGCTACTCTATGTCTTCGCGCATGCGCGGGTGATAGTAGAGTACGCGCATGCGCGAAGAATTAATATAAAATAAATATAAGAATTTAATATAAAATACTCTTATTTTAATCTAAACAAACATATTTCCAAATAAAATGTAATAATAATTATCTTATAGATTTCACAAATCTTCAATTTACGTAATATTTAGTTTAGTGTACGGATTGCAGTACAGTTCAGTTGAACATAGTCAATGTTCGGAATGCGAAATCTAGTGCGTAGTACATATATATCGATGCCAAACTCTGACTAATTAGTCAACATAAAACTTTTAAACTTGGCACGTATTAATTATGTTGGCAAGATATAGATATTATTTATGCTGTCTCCTTTTTATTCTTTCGCCGCCTGAAGCCCGCCCGCCCCGCCGCGCTATGCATAGACGTCGTCAATTCGTAGAAGCTCTTTTACGTGATATGAGCCACGCCGCAGCTATATTATGGGTTGTAGCACGAATGGGTCGGCTCGACCGGGGAAGGACCACGCTCTCACAGAATACCAGCGTAAAATAGCAGCTTAATGCTTCTGTGTTTCTTATAGTGAGTTTAGAGAACCAGAGACGGTTTTCATGGGAAACGAGGCATTCCATCGTAGTCCTCAGGAGTGACAAGGCATCTGCATTTTGATTCGTAATCGAGGATAAATGTAGATGTCTATGGGCCACAGCAACCACTTACCATCAGGTGGACTGTGTGCTCGTTTGTCACTCTTATTCTATAAAAAAAAGTTAGGTTATCTTGCGCTTTAAATAAGTAAATATGGTCAAATTTAAACCCTGTTATTTTCTATAAATAAAGTGACATTACGCATGCGATGCAAGGATTTTTTCTGTACTTTTAAGGTTATCATTTTTATTGAATGTTGCCGTTTGTTTGAGGGTTTTTTGAAGTGCACACGTTGTAAGTTCAGATTTAATCCTTTTTCAGAATTAAATTAAAATTAGTGTGCAACGAAACAAATCGTTTAACAAGTTTTGTTACGCCGAAAAAGAAAAACCACAGACGAATGTGCAGTTTTTCCCATGTTCCGAGGAAAAATTATTCGTTCATTAGATCATTCCTTAACAATAATTATTAATTATTAGCACATAGCGCATTTTGTCAAAAAAAAACTTTAGTATAATTCAACAAATGGGCAACAAAATGATTAAATTTTTTGATCCGATTTACGTAGCGTATGAAATAAATTAGTGAGGATAACAAAAGAGTTGAAATAAAATTACTAAAACTACATATGCAATTAATATTATCTTAATAGCTGGTACCCGGCGCGTTGCTGCCACAGAAGAAATAATTGTGGGAAATATCGTTTTAAATTTGGAAGAGGTACATTGTTTAATTAGGAATGATAATACATTCCTTCAAATTGAATGAAACATATGTCTTTCAAATAAATTTGTCGGTACGATACGCGCGCCACCTACTTTAAGTTAATTGTACTATACCTATAACCTTCGTGCAGGTGCAAGCAATAAGTTGACAACGTTTTAGCGCAACCTGATGAACGGTATAGCAGCGCATATATGTATTAGAACTATCTTTAAGAATGTTTTTTCATTAGGCGACACGATAATGACATGCATTGTCACTGATACGAACTCACTGATAACAGGGTACTGAAATGTATAGAGCGACCTTTGATGATTTTCCATTGACAGACACGACATCAATAAATCATTGATGACCATAGCACGTCCACTTCCCACAGAATTAGGGTTGCCAGACGTCTATTACTTTAAAGGGCATCCTATTTTTCAGACTCAAAAATTGTTCTTGTCCCCTAAGTTAAAATCTATCTAGCTAGTTGAGTTCAGAGTTTAAAAATCACTTTGAGGTTCCGCGCGATGTTAGAGAGACGTGAACGTTACATTGCGTATGGACAGTTTTTTTTTTTATAAGTAAATAAATGTTGCTACAGATAATACCATAACAGCCTTTTATTGAAAATTATTTAACTAGTTCTTTATTAAATCTTATCCAATCCTCTAAAATATAAAACAGGAGCTGGCAACCCTGCATAGAATCATCGCGATACAATCAAGAATGTGTGACGTAAACACACAAAGACATAATATTATGTGCGCGTGACCTGCTTGATATTCATTTCATCCATGTGTCTGTATTCGCTGTTCTCTTTCAACTTCAATCATCATCATCATTACAGCCCTTCACAAGTAACCACTGCTGAACATAGACATCCCCCAACGCATGGCACAAGGCACGGCCCAGAGCAACCTGCATCCATCGACTTCCTGCATGTCTCACCAGGTCGTCATTCCGTCCAGGGTCGCCCTGCACTTCGCCTATCGGTACGATATGCTGCCACTCGAGAACCTTTTTTCCCCGTCGGTTGTCGGTTCTTCGGGCTTTATGGCTGGCCCATTGTCACTTCAGCTTACTAATCCGTTAGACTACGTCGGCCACGCTGGTTCAACTGCAGATATCCTCATTTCTAGGTTTATCATGCAAAGAAAACATAGCATAGCCCTCTCGTATGGGTATCCCCATACGGCCAGCAATGAAAAACCACATCTCAGATCCATAAGTCATCACTGGTAACACGCACTGGTTCTACAATCTCGTTTTCAGGTTTTGAGGTATACCTGCCCCCCACCCCCCATAATAAAAGATTCACATTCAAATAATAATAATGTAGACGCGTAGGAGTAGGATCATATGCCGTTATAACTAGCAAATAAATTACTGCAGACCACTAATAACTATATTTATTAATACGTAAGTACAAGTTAGACAAGAGTACAAAATAGTATATCATTGCATTGGAAACATTGCTTATATAGGTAAAAATAATTAATAATAATTAAAATCGCAATATGTTGTTTGTCTTAAAATACACACTGATTGGTCGTATTCACAGCGAACACAATACATGCGCAAGCGGCCATTGAACTCCGCCCATGCGGCCATCGATGAGAACAATAGGTGTACACAGGCGGCCCTCGAACTCTGCTGGCGCTACGACCAATGGGAACGCATGCGCCCTAATGAGCGGGCGTTGCTTGGCGACGACGTAGGATATCGTCCGATGTATGACGTAGTGGTGGCGTGATCTTTAGGTCCGTTGTAGCTACTAATTTACTCGCCACACTACTCCCCCGTTGAGACCGTAACTACGGGCGATAGTAATCCGGAGACCTTACTGTGCGTCCGCTTCGGGTCGTTTTGGTGGTAGCTTGACTATAGTCACTTCGGTTTTGTGGAATGGTCTCTGCGGTCTCTCTGGCAACATACGCTGGCTTTAGGCGGTCAATTGAGATCCTTTGAGTCCTGCCCTGGATTTCTACGTCGAATGTTTTGAAGTCACGTCTCACGACTTTGAAGGGACCTGAGTAGGGTGCCTCGAGTGATCTTCTTGCGGGACCTTGGCGGACGAAGACATGCATCGAAGTTCTGAGGTCTTTGGGCACATAAAATATTCGACTGGAACTGCCATGCCAAGACGTAGGTTGTGGGGTCAATCTACTGACGTGCGCGCGTAGTCGACCAGCCACGGTGGTCGGGTCCGTTTCCGTATTGGGATTTGGGGAAAAGAACTGTCCAGGCAAACGGAGTGGTTCGCCGTAGACTAGCTCTGCTGCCGATGATTGCAAGTCCTCTTTCCAGGCGCTGCGGATACCGAGGAGGACCCATGGTAGAACTTCAACCCAGTTTGAAGACGAGTGGCAAGTGATGGCGGTCTTCAGTTGGCGGTGCAGTCGTTCCACTAGACCATTGGCAGCTGGGTGATAAGATGTGGTAGTGTGGTGTGTTGCACTGACCAGCGCGGCGAGCTCCTTCAAAGTGTGCGATAGAAACTGTCTGCCGCGATCTGTGGTGATGTGTTCTGGACATCCGAAGCGTGAAATCCATCCATTTGTTAGAGCGATGGTGCACGTCTCTGCTGTCATGTCCTGGAGTGGGTACGCCTCAGGCCAACGAGTGAAGCGATAGACAATCGTGAGGCAGTACCTGTACCCAGAACATAACGGTAAGGGACCGATCAGGTCAAGATGTATATGCCGAAAGCGTGCTGAAGGTAGCATGAATGATGCGAGCGGTGCTGAAGTGTGACGAGCTACCTTGGATCGTTGACAGTGCTGGCACTCCTTTGCCCATTGCCTACAATCCCGCTTAATGCCAGGCCAGACGAACCTCTGCGTCGCCAGCTTGACAGTAGCCTTCGCTCCTGGATGACTCAAGTTATGTAGTGCGTTAAATACCTGTCTGCGGAACGAAGGTGTGATAAATGGCCGCGGATTCGGGGTGGAGACGTCACAGTATATCTGCAGATCCTGTCCCGGTGTCCTAAGCTTCTCCAACTTCAGGGCAGAGCCGTTATTCAGCAGATCATGTAGCTCGCTATCGGTGTCTTGCTCACTGGCTAGGGACTGGTAGTCTAAGGGCATAGAAATTTCATTAATGCGGGACAGAGTATCAGCGACTATATTATCCTTTCCGGCGATATATCTGATGTCCGTGGTAAACTGGCTGATGAAGTCAAGGTAGCGAAACTGGCGTGGCGAGCAACTCGTTCGGTGCGTTGTGAAAGCAAACGTCAGTGGCTTGTGGTCTGTTATAATCGCGAAATTTCGTGCTTCGACCATGAAGCGGAAGTGTTTGATGGCTTCGTAGATGGAAAGAAGTTCGCGATCATAAGGGCTATACTTCCTCTGGCTTGGACTTAGCTTCTTGGAAAAGAATGCCAGTGGTTTCCATTCGTTGTCCTGCTATTGCTGCAGGACTGCCCCTATTGCTGAATCTGAAGCATCTGTATGAATCGCCGACTCTGCTTGTGATTCAGGGTGTACCAATAGTGTGGCTTCAGAAAGACTATTCTTGCAGTTGTTAAATGCCTCCAACAGATCGGGTGTCATGTTGATAGGTTGCGAACCTTTCGTCTTTGGGCCAGCAAGCATTTGGTTCAGTGGAGCTTGAATGGTAGCTGCATTTGGGATTAAGCGGCGATAAAAGTTTACCATTCCAAGAAAACGTCTGAGTTCCTTGACGGTTTTTGGTGGAGGGAATTCTCGAATAGCCTGCACCTTCGCATCCAGTGGCTGGATTCCCGCTGCTGAAACCTTATATCCTAGGAAGTCGACCTCAGACTGACCAAAAACGCACTTGTTGGTGTTTATTAGAACGCCGTATTCTGTCAGTCTTTGGAAAAGTTGCCTGAGGTGTTGCTGATGCTGCGTGCTATTGGAGCTGTATACCGGGATGTCATCCAAGTATCCAAAACAGAAGTCCAATCCCCGGAGAACCTCGTCCATGAAGCGCTGGAACGTTTGAGCGGCATTTCGGAGGCCGTAAGCCATGAACGGGAACTCATATAAGCCGAATGGTGTTGTGATTGCGGTCTTGCATACGTCAGCCTTAAAAAACTGGTATCTGGTTGTAGGCTTTAACCAAATCTAATGTTGAGTAGACAGTACTTCCGGCCAGCTGGTGTGTAAAATCCTGCAAGTGTCTGATGGGATACCTGTCCGGGATTGTGCGTGCGTTCAATGAACGGTAATCACCGCAAGGTCTCCAGCCACCGTTCTTCTTGTGAGCTAAATGCAGTGGCGAAGACCAAGGGCTATCGGATCTGCACGCCGTGCCGTTTTGTAGCATCTCATCGAACTCCTGCTTTGCAATCTTCAGGCGCTCAGGGTCTAAGCGACGCGGACGACCGGTTACAGGTGGACCCGGAGTAGTGCGGATGTAGTGTACCGTTGAATGCCTAATTAACTTTTGCTTACCAGCAGGACGAGTGAGGTCAGGAAACTCTCTCAGCAGACGATGGTAAGCGCAGTCGTCGATGGTTTTTCGAACAGATGAGATTGCCTCTGTTGAAGTATGACGTGGTACAGCAACTGTGAGCGACGTTACGCCATCGATGAGACGCTGGTTACGGCAATCGACTAGAAGGTTGTAGTAACCTAGAAAGTCGACGCCGATGATGGGCTTCGAGACGTCGGCTACGGTGAATCGCCAAGTAAAAGCTCGTCGGAGTCCTAAGTCGATTGTTAATGGCAAGTAGCCATAAGTAGAGATAATTGTTCCGTTGGCTGCGAACAACTCGTACTTTGTCTTATTTCGTGGCTCCCTAACAGCGGATCGCGGAAAGACGCACAGGTCTGAACCTGTATCGATGAGATATTGCACCTTTGTTTTGCGGTCCGTAATGAACAGGCGGCTCGAAATCGCTAGGCAGTCGTTTACCGCCACTAATGGCTGCCTTGGTAGTTTCCCTTTTTCTGGTAGGTACAGGGTTGAGTACACTTCCGTGCTTTTTCACCAAACCGGTAGTGGTAGAAGCAATGAGGGTGATCGCTAGGACGTGAGCGTGAACGGGGGCGGTATTTTTTTCTTGAACCGTTAGAGCGTGAATGTGAACGCCTACGTAACTCCATACTCATTGCTTCCACTTTTTGGCTGAGCTCTGTCACTGTCCGCGTTAAGGCTTCCATGGTGTTATTAATTGGGGCCGTAGGTGTAGATGACGTACTAGCTACTTGCGCAAGTACTTGACTGTTGGCTAGCATAGTTGCAGGAAGAACGTCATTGACACGGTCTGCAAGCTCGGCCAAGTCTTCTAGTGACATCTTCGTTTGCTGCGCGGCGATGCAGGTCTGCAGGTGTGTAGGAAGTCGGCTTGCCCACATTGTCCTGATGAACTCAGATGGTACATTTGCTCCAGCTAGGTGCTGCAAATGCCGAAGGAATTGCGTCGGCTTTCTGTCTCCTATCTCCTCATGCATTAACAGCTGTTTGATATTTCGTTCCTGGGAAGCAGACAGTCTTCGTATCAGCTCCGCCTTCAAAGTATCAAACTTGTTTGCGGCCGGTGGGGAAACTATTAGGTCTCGTACTTCTGCTGCGTGTTGCGGTTCCAGTTGTGCCAGGACGTAGTAAAATTTCGTGGCGTCAGCGCTGATGCTGGACAACGTGAACTGCCCTTCCAGTTGCGCGAACCATAGTTCAGGGTTATCAGGATTGAACGGGGGTATTCTTACTCCAACTCGGCAGGATTCTCCCAAAACACCAGCCTTGGCACCTTCAGCTTGCATCTTCTTCGAGGTCTTGAATGTCGGAGGTCACCAGTGTAGACGCGTAGGAGTAGGATCATATGCCGTTATAACTAGCAAATAAATTACTGCAGACCACTAATAACTATATTTATTAATACGTAAGTACAAGTTAGACAAGAGTACAAAATAGTATATCATTGCATTGGAAACATTGCTTATATAGGTAAAAATAATTAGTAATAATTAAAATCGCAATATGTTGTTTATCTTAAACTACACACTGATTGGTCGTATTCACAGCGAACACAATACATGCGCAAGCGGCCATTGAACTCCGCCCATGCCGCCTTCGATGAGTACAATAGGTACACAGGCGGCCATCGAACTCTGCTGGCGCTACGACCAATGGGAACGCATGCACCCTAATGAGCGGGCGTTGCTTAGCGACTACTTAGAATATCGTCCTATCTATGACGTAATGGTGGCGTGATCTTTAGGTCCGTTCTAGCTACTAATTTACTCGCCACAATAATAAATTTATTTCTTTTGATCCACAAGTTAGTAGGTACTTAACATGTTAGTAGATACAATTTTATTAACCACCAATGCAAAAAGAGAGGTGTTATAAATTTGAACGCTATGTGCGTCTGTCTGCCTGTTTGTCTGTCTGTTTGTCCGTCTGTTTGTCTATCTGTGTGTCTATCTGTGGCAACGTAGCTCTTAAACGAGTGCACTAATTTAGGTGCGGTTTTTTTTTGTTTTGTAGGTGACTCCATCGAATGTTCTTAGTTTTGATTCAAGAAAATCTTTTCAGTCGTTTGAAGATCATCAGATCTTTTATTTCAGGGTTTTTTGAAATTTTCTATTTCATTTTGTATATATTTTTTATTTTATTGCTTGGTCATTTGCAGATCAAATACGAATCAAGAATCCAAAGAGCAAACCTCACATCGATAGATAATTATTATGTAAAAGGTCGGGGGAAAAGTTTCTCCGTATTTTATATACAAATTCAAGAAATTATTATTTTTCAGTTTATTTACTATATTCTAGTATATGCCATTTTTTTTTTCGATAACTTGTTGCCATCTTGTAGGTAGTGATATAATCTCGCTGCTGTAGAAATCTTGTGTTTTGATCAAAAAAATGAGACAAGTAGTTTTGACAGCCCTCTCTTGATATTAAACTAACACTACCCAAAGAATTCTTAAGAGACCGAAACAGGTGAAAATCTGATGGTGCAAGGTCAGGACTATATGGTGGATACATTATAACTTTCCAACCAAGCTGTCTAAATTTTTACTGAGTGGCCAAAGATGTGTTTGGTCTGACGTTATCATGATGAAAGGCCTTTCCTGTTGATCAATTCCGGCCGTTTTTTTCCCAATTTCTTGCTCGAGTCTCAATAGTTGTTGGCAGTAGAGATTCGAATCGATGGTTTAGCCCGGCGGTAAAAGCTCATAAAAAACGATGCTCATAAAAAACACCTTATTGCTAGTCCGGGTATTTGCAGTCTTTCGCTTCAGTCTGTGGAGCTTGACTACCTTTTGACCATGATCTTTTTCGCACGTTCTTAACGCAGGTGATCCATTTTTCATTACGTTTCAACAGCGAATCGCAAATTAGTACACGATTCATTAGGTTTCTTTCAGTGAGCTCGTGTGAAAACTTTTTTGTGGTTAAACCTCAATTCCTCGGCTATGTCATCGTGTGACATGGACTTTATCCATATGAGGGCGACCATAGCGAGCTGCATCTTTGACATCAAAATTCCCGGACTGAAAACGCTTGAAGCAACTTTGTGCTACTCTTTCCTGACACTCCATTAGGTCCATAAACGTCACAAGTTTTTTTGGCGGCTCGAGTCACATTTTTTCCTTTTTCTACCAACTTTAAAAAGGAGGAAGTACGACTGTATATTTTTAATATGTGTTACCTTATAACTTGTTTCTGGATGAAGCGATTTCCATGATTCTTCTTTATTTGAAAATGATAAATTTGATCAAGGTCTGACCAATAGTTTTTGAGTTATTCGTGATAATTTATATTGAAGTCGGTTGTAATTAAAAAACTTCAGAATGTATCGAATTCCTTCGTTGGATTCACTTAAATTGGCTAACAGAAAAACAATTGAAAAATGGCGGGAAAGTGTATTTTACTTTTTATTTTTATTTTTATTTATCTTCTTAATTTCCTATAAGTATTGATATCAAAACCAGCCAGATACGAACAGTACAACCAAAGCTATTTTTCTTCAATTTTATACAATAAACTTTTTCCCCAACTACTAGAGATTACAGTATAAATTTTGGGGAAAAAGTTAGGACTACAATGTAAAAAAAAAACGTCTATTAAACAAAAAAGAGCAATAAAAATAATATCTCGCATACATACATACCAGAGGCAATCACGTATAGAACATTTTATAAATTAGAAAATCCTCAATGTACCTTGTTTGTATATTCTAACTTTACTCACTGATCTTGTCACACACCCGAACAGATATTATGAAACTAAAATTTTTTTTTTATAGGATCGGGTGACAAACGAGCACACAGTCCACCTGATGGTAAGTGGTTACTGTGACCCATAGACATCTAGATCTATCCTCAATAAAGACTCAAGATGCAGATGCATTGTCACCCGTGAGGACTAAGATGGAATGCCTCTTTGCCAGTAAAAAGGCTCTCCGGTTCTCTACACTCACCATACGAAACACAGCAGCGTTAAGCTGCTATTTTACGCTGGTTTTCTGTGAGAGCGTGGTCCTTCCCCGGTCGAGCCGACCCATTCGTGCTACAACCATAATATAGCTGCAGCATGGCTCTACCACAATTATGAAATAATTTTATTATTATTAAACCCTAACTTACCTACTTAACCCTAGTTTGAAGAGAATCCCTCTCAGTTGCGTACACTATCCCCGTCACCACTAATCCCAGCACCACTGATCCCATCATCACTACACTAGCAAAGACACACCACCGTCGATAATACGACACGTGTTTCGCCTCCACACGAGGCATCCTCAGGTGAAGCAGACTGTCTTATCGGTCATGGAGTAGTGGCTGCTAGGATTAGTGGTGATGAGGATATATCACGCGATTGAGGACGAGCGAGAGTTGCTCTTCAAACTAGGTAAGACACATCATTTTATTAACCACCGACGCAAACAAAGGAGTGTCTGTCATATATATATATAATCTTCTTCTATACGCTGCACGCGCTGTACGCGCGCCGAGCCGAGTGTTGAATTATTTAAATTTTTCATTATCTCTTAAACTATGCGTCCAAATAACATGCTATAAAGTACAAAGTTTACCTTCAAAAAATTGTCTTGATGATGACTTTCGTTAAGTCGTAAGGATTAATATGCTAAGCGTAATAATATCGCTTTTTAATTTTCAATATTTTTCCGTCACAAAATACCTTACTACATAAGAATATCTGTATACGATCCAGATATATCGGAGACTTGTTTTTAAATGAAATAGTTCTATATTTTTTGTAGATTATAGTATTTACGTATCACTAATCATAAGTCGGCGTAAAAAGCAGTTCGGGAGCGCTTATTAGTACAGATAATTAGTCTAGATTTTAAGACTTTTTGAAGTAAACACGAATACATGATGTTAATTAATTATATTTTATGTTTTATGTTCGCGACGGCCTAAAGACTTTAAGGAAAAAGTGATGAAAGAATATTGTTTTGTATAAAAAGTGAAATTACTAACGAAATCGAGTAAATAGTTTGTTAATATAGTTTTACAGTGTGTTTACAACTCTTAATATATTTGTATAGAATGTCGTTTTAATAATAGTTGATATAAACAACCAATCACAGCGCATCATATCGTAGAACTTTCAGGAAGTTTAATTAACTGCGCAATAGTTTGTACTGAAAATAATGAGAATATTTTTGTGTTCTAAAGAGTTGTAAATATGATATTTAGTTAGCATATGGTATATATATTACGATAGTAAAGAAATAATTTGTATAAATAGACGCAATTGATAAATATAGAAAAATTAAAGAATTAATGTACCCATTTGTTGTGAAAATTTGGGACATTTCATTTAATAACTTTTTTTAAATATAAATATATTGAATAACCTTTATCACATACTGATAAAGGACCAAAATGCCTATTTAATGATGTATAGCGTGTTAGTGTAAAAATTAGCCTTGTATAGAAAATATTGCGATTTGTGCTAATTTCATAGTGAAAATGTTTAAAAATAAAGAGGCAAAACGGAAAATGGCAAGCGGCTCACTATACAGTATAGCTGAAGTCTACCTTATGTGGGCGAATCCCAGTAACGTTGTAGACCGTTGAAATCAACGAAGAGGGGTGGACAACCATAAGAGGGAAAGGGGGGAGGCAAACAGCCCCCCCACCACACCCCCCGCAGCCACAACAGCAAATGGAAGTAGAGCAACCGCAACCTAAAGCCACCACCGGAGCGACTCTCCAACCCCCCGCTAACGACGCTACAGAGCGTTTAGCACCGAAAAAGAAAAAGCGGGGGAGAAGGAAGAAGAGCAAAACACAAGAACCTCCTCAAGCCGTTACCTCTACCCCCACTCCAGCGGTCACGATAGCCTCCCAGGCGCAGGTTACCGCAAAGGAAATAAGGACCATCGTAGGTAGAGCACCAGAGAGGACTCTACCTGAACATAGAGCCCGCTCTACAACAAGAGCCCGCTCTACCATACGCAGAATGACCCAAGCACAGCCGAGACAAGAGCCAACCTCACACAGACTACCAACAGCCGGCCTCGGAAATGAAGATGCCATCCTCAGATTGGTTGGCATAGCCATTGAGGTCGGCACGCAAGTCCTGGCCGATATAAGAGCCGGGACAGATCCTATTACCGCGATTATGAGAGCGTTGGCGCAACTTCTTGCCCGGCATTACAGAGGCGAGTAACCTGCGCCTATATACTGGAATCCAGACGGGATACAACAGAGGATCCAGGAACTCCGCACTGTCGCCCAGCAGCAGGATATACAGGTGATATTGCTGGGAGAGATGAA